GTAGTGCCTGTTGTCCCATGCTACTGCTATACATGAATAGCTGTAGCGCTCTTTAGAAAAGGGCGCTGCTGATATTATCTGCAGTGCTGTTTACTGGGAAGCGCTACTGGTAAGGCGGCGCTACTGGTAAATTTCCCCCCCTCGCTACTACTAGTTTTATTAGTTTTTTCCCTGCATATTTGTTTTGTATTTGAATAGGCTTTATACAATAATCTTTAGCATATCATACACATACAAATGTATCATAGAATATACATACAATTAGTCTCATCAAATCATGTCATCATCATAATCATCATCCAACACAAAGTGGTCTCTCGCCATCATCTCGAAAATAGTGATACAAGTCTCGATTACTTGCAAATACATCATCATCCATCTAAACAATGATATACGCGAGAAGAGCTATCACTTTGAGTACATGAGTTCGTATCCCTCTCTCGCATTAGCGTGAACCTAAACCGAGGTTGCTGAGGCGGCTGGATCATAGAATCAGCTTTTTTGCCTTTCCTCGCTCTCTTCCTAGACTTCTTTACTACCGGAAGGTCGTCCATAATACGTTGAGACGGCAATTCAGGCACCGACTCATGACGCTCAAACCCTGAGGAGGCGCCAGTATAGACATACTGTTCAGCGCCATCGTCGTCCTCATCTTCATCCATGGCGACGTTATCAGCGACTAATGGAGCCTCCTCCTTACCCCGTCCGCTATCACCCAACCCGACACCTGACGCTAATTGGGTAGGTGGGGTGTTGATGTTCATACTTTGCTGAGATTGCGTGCTCGTGGGTGTGCTCCCGGCCGCCTCCAAACAAAGCAGACTCTTTGGCCACAACAGGACCCACCCATTGCAACAATCACCAAGCCGCCGCGGTGTCTCGTCGTCATCCCCCGCTAGTATTGGAGGAGGCAAATTCTCGTGGCCCGGTTTGACACTGGCCACGAAAACCTTGAAGACGTTCGGGGGGATCGGCCGGCTGTGGAACAATGGTTCCTTCGGCTTCATTATCGTCGCCTTCCCCACGTCCACCTTCTGGTCGCCGATTGTGTACAATATGGTGCATGGGGTTTCGTCGGCCTGCAAAGAAAAGTCTGCAACGTGAGACATCCGAAAGGCAACGAAAATGGGAGATTATACATTTATATTGAAGGGGGCCGGTGTGACAGATACCGTGAGGGCGTCGAGCTCAGCCAAAGACGAAGCACCACCGAGCACGTCCGGTGCGGGAGCAGGTGCGGGAGCCGGTGCAGGAGCAGGTGCGGGAGCCGGTGCGGGAGCAGGTGCTGGCACAATGCTACTCGAGCTGCTCCCCAAGAAGTCAGCAAGGGGAAAGTCCTCTGCATTTTTTTCTAGATTTTTCCTTGTCCAAGTGATAACGCCCGTCACCAAGGAAGTAGACAAATCTGCAACCACCTGTTTTGCGGCAGCTACCGCTGTTGCGACTGTCTGAGATGGTTTCTTCTCAACCGCAATCTCAACCTTCTTGTCGATGTTTTCTTCAGTTAACCTCCGTCTTTACTTTCTCTCCTCCGTGGTCTCACGGTAGTACTTCTTCCACGTGGCGCCGTCTCCGACACCGTGCACGCGTCCATACAATGGTCGAGTATCCACCGGTTATCGCTTCAATATGTTCAACGCCCGGTTGAATGGAGTGTCCCACTTGGGCCTCGCCAATGCCTCAGACGGCGAGTCGCTTTCGGCCTCAATCCGGTTCTACTCTCTCTGCAAAAGGCACAAGGATCATTTACAAATATGAATAACATGTGCAGTCGAATTGATCAGAAACTAAAATTACCAGCAGTCTCATGAACTCCGTAATGACCGATGTTGTCTCGTAAACCTTCTTCACTGGGTCCCAACGGTGTCGGGCCCTGAGGATGTCATGCTCCTGTGGGGCGGTGAAATCCGCCAAAGGGTCTGGGATGCCAAGACTCACGGCTTCCGCGTCCTCCTTGGCCCATTTGGACCTCTTTCCGCCGTAACCACGGCTTCCGAGGTGGTGGCTCCCAATGTTCCTCTCTTGAAGCCCCTTCATGTACTGAGACTTTTTTTGGCAGCTTCGGCCTCGCAAGCCTCCTTGAATATTTGTAACTGCTCTTCCGTGATTGTCGGATTATCCTTTACAATCTCGGAGTAGGGTTCCTTCTTGTCGATGATCTTTGCTTTCACTCGATTTTTCCAGGCGGCCAACGCGTTGCTAAACTTGGTCATGGCGTGTTTGTTTATCTTCTTCATTGCCGGGTCCTCATCTAGATCTTCATAATCCTTCTCATTCCGGCCCGGGAACAAGAATATCTGGTGAAACTTCTTTAGGAGGGAGCTCCTCATATTTTCTATCTTTGGTAGTGTCTCATCGTTGATGGTGGCGGTTGTCCGTACGATGCAGCCTATTTGATTGCCGTAGCATCGACGCACTTCCTCGGGTGCCTTTGGCTCAAAATTGCCGTCGTCCACCTCCGTGACCACCAGTCTAGTAGTCTTGAGTTTGTTAGGAAGCCGTTGCCTCTTTGCTTTCGGTTCTACACCGGCTCCGCTCCCCGAGGCAGCGCCGGTCTCAGTCCCATCGCCGGGCTCGATGCCGGTCTGAGTCTCAGTGCCGGTCTCAGTCTCAGCACCGGTCTGCATGTCGGTCTCAGTCCCCGATGCCACCGGTTGATCGTCGGCAAGGCTAAAAAATTCGTCTGCCGCCCAGTAGACGTCATCGCAATCACCAGAACCATGTCCTTCATCGTTGCTAGCTTTGTTTCCTATGATTAAATCTAGTAAATTAATTCTAGACCTAATGAAATGAATAATGACATACAAAAGGCATATGTTTTGCAGGAACGTTGACTCCTTCCTGGTGCGGCAAATCCCGGGCACTCGATATGTCCTAGTTTGTAGCACAAGTCATGCTGAAATTCACAGAAAATTTCGGCATGAACTTTGCTAAAAAGTGGACAAATCGAGAACCTGAAATTTGCCAGAACGGAAATGAATCAACATTCCGGCAAAACATAGGCCACTCAGCTTCATTCCCTAGAAACAACAAAGGGCCACTTGGGCACAATCGAAACATGGGCAAACACAATTGAGGAATTTGCATATATCCTGACCACTTCAAATTTGCATGTCCTATAGCGTTTGACACTTCAAGAAAATCTACACAAATCATACATGCTCTCTCAAACTCAATTCAAAAACCAAATATAGATTATATTTAGTTAACTACTGAACTAAACTTTACTCTAAACTAAACCCTACTGCCCTAGTTAACATCTAGTTAAACAAACTCAATTCAAAAACTAAACCCTACTGAACTAATTAACATCTACATTATCTACTACTTAACATCGTCTATTCTTACCCTAACTAAAAAACATCAACATTATCTACTACTTAACATTAACATCTATTAACTAAAAAGGATGCGTTGGGGGGCTTACAGAGAGGGGAGAGACGGTGGCGGGGAGGTGCTTGGCGACGAAGGTAGGGGCGGGGTGGGCAGGCTCAGGATCGGGACGCGGCAGTCTTGGCGGGCTCGGGGGCGGTGAGTTCGAGGGCGGCGGCGGTGAGGTCGAGGGAGGCGACGGTGAGGTCGAGGGCGGCCCGAGAGGCGGCGGCGGTGAGGCTGGGCGGCCTTGGGCGGCGGCCGTGAGGATGAGCGCGGCATCGACGCCGGCAGGAGACGGCGGCGAAGTGGGGGCGACGGCGAAGTGGGGGAGATGGCGGCGAAGCGAGGGATCGATTTGGGGGAGAAGTGGTGGCTGGGGGGAAACCGTTTTTGCTTAAGTCAAAAGTAACGGTAGCGCGTTATAGAAAACGCGTTGTAGCTAAGTTAGCTATAGCGCGTTTCAGAGAGCGCGCTACTGCTACGTCTTCATCATTTTTTCCCTTTTTTATTTATTTTTCTTTACATTTTATATTTTTCCTTTCTCTTTTTTCTATTTCTTTCATTTTCATTTACTTCTCTATTCGTTTTTCATTTCATTTTCTTTTCGTTAGCAGTAGCGATTTACACATAAACGCGCTGCTATAAGTTTATTAGCGGTAGCGCGGTTTTTGGAAGATCGCTACTACTATGTGTAGCCCATCGTCTAAGTGATTGGAATTTTAGTAGTAGCGAGTTTTCGATGAGACGCGCTACTGATATATGTCCATCTGCAGCGCGCTTATTTTGCACGCGCTACTGCTATCTAGTAGTAGCGTGCTCTTTTAACAAGCGCTACTGCTAAAGTTCTGTGTATAACGTTTTCCCTAGTAGTGCGACGTGCTCTAACTCCACGATCACCGGTTTCACGGACTACACCTCTAAGTAGTCCACCTAGATAGTTTGGCGTTGATTTAGTGATGTAGTCATGTAGGTGCTGATATGGACTTTTTAGATTGCCACTTGCGATGCTTTTGATTGTAGTATGAGTGATGAACGCTTGCGTGGATTATGTATGATGTGCTATTTTTAACCTTGCATTATTTCTCTACCTTTTTTCTCTATCATTGTAGATGAAGTGGCATGCGATGTACAGAGGTAGATGTCCAGGAGTCTACGATTCTTGGTCTGAATGCAATGAACAAGTGATTTACTATGAAGGCAGCTCCCACGACTCGTTCAATAGCAGAGAGAAAGCAGAGTATCATTACAATCAGTATGTGCTTAAGCAGAAGAGAAAATCTGAATTAGTGGGTTCAGTGGATGGGTTGACTAGATGTGCTAGCCAGAAACGGCTTATCGGGTTTAGCGGATGGAAGAACTTGATAATTCTTCTTCAATTTGTGATAATTGTGGTGTTGCTTTTATCTTGTGGTCGCATGTAGAAATGCATTGACCACTTTATTGTTTAGTAAGTAGGCATTTGTACTAAAGAGCTACCAGCTTGTGATCTCAAAAGAAGTTCGTGTTAACTATTTTATGTAATGGTTATGTGAGTTTGTTGTTAGGCACTGAGACTTGAAATGCTTGTTTGTGTATTGTATATAAATTTTTGTAGCAGGATCAGGGAGGAAGAAGTAAAAAGTTGTCTAGGAACGGATCTTTGCCGAGAGCTGCTCTTGGCAAAGTGGCACGCTGGCAGTTGGCTGTGGCGGCTTTGCCGAGAGCCACTCTCTGCAAAGTGGCATGCGCCAGCTGTTGGCTGTGGCATCTTTGCCAAAAGCCACTCTCGGCAAACAGCTGATGGAACCAACCGACGTGGAAGTCACTTTATTTTGCCGAATTATACTGTTTGGCTCTTGGCAAAGTCTTTGCTGAGTGCCCATGCCCTGGCTCACGGCAAATTCCTGTTTGCCAGAGAGGTGTACGCCGGGTAGCTTTTGCCGAGTGTAGCACTCGGCAAAGGTTTTTGCTGACGGTTATAGGCCATTTGCCAAGTGTCTGTGGCACTCGGCGTATAACTAGATTCCAATAGTATCGTGGCTAAATGTCTCCTTCACATCGGACGCCTCTCTGCACGTACTCTCTCCGTTCGAAATTGCTTGTCACAAAAATGGATGTACCTACAATTAAAATACATCTAGATACATTTATTTCTTGGACGAGTAATTCCGAACGAAGGGAGTACATGCTTAAGTCCACACAAATCGATGCAATACAATTAGGGGTACATTGGAGGTTATAATCATGGATATATCCGCTGTTTGTTATGGAGTTCCAACGTGTCCTGTTGCCAAGAATGGTATTGCTTGTCGTGCTCAACATCCACTGGCTTCCACCAAGCTTCCCCCCATATCAGCAAGGAAGCTTTTCCTTTTGATAAAATCAGCAAGAAAGCTAGCTAACTGCCCCGCTGCTTCGATCCGTTTCTGAATATCACCGACGAGTCAACTGAGGTTTCTTTGTATCAGCTATCAACGGACACGTCGGGAGTGCCCATGCATAATGTTTATTCAGCGAGTGTTTGTTGTCGGCTGACTGAGTAAGATCTAAGACCCCTTTTTTTACATCAAATAAGATCTAAGACTTAATTGTGTATAAGAATACAATCCTCAGGCGCTTTTCTCACGCAAAAAGATAATAATAAGAATGATAGCCCTTTGTTCATTTGTGATCAACGGTGGTCTTATATGTTACTCTGCTCTTTTGCTTCAACTTGCCAAGATAATCAAGATCAAAATCCTATATTCATTCCTTCTTTTTACATCCTATTCGTGCAAAAAAAAATTGGCCTAAATAAGGCATGGCCATACAGCTACTGGCTAGACAATGAATCTCACATGCCAAGATCATTGGCGTGTGCTCGCAAGCAAAACGCACTCGAGTCCGTACGTTACGTACTCCTATTATGTTCCCAGGCGGCCGTCGAATCCCACATCAGGATCGACCAGCTCCGATCTTGTCGAATCAAAGACCTCGCATTGATGATCACACGCGCTTGGACACCAACCCCATTGGTCATGTGTGCGTGTATAGAAATTAAAAAACGGATGGAGATAGATTCATATTATTCAAATTCAGATCACGGAGGAGGGAACTGCCAAAAGATATTTGCACTGATGAGCACAAAGTAGTTACTCCCTCCGTCCGGAAATACTTGTCATCAAAATGAATAAAAAAAGATGTATCTAGATGTATTTTAATACTAGATACATCTATTTTTATCTATTTTAATGACAAATATTTTCGAACGGAGGCAGTAGTAGTTGGGTGGGACCCTTCCCCGGAAGCCCAAATTCAAATTCAAATTCGAAAAGTGGAGACGCTAACCACCTTCTTCTTCTTTGTTTGTCGCTTTTCCTTTCGCCTCGGAAAAGATTGCTACGGAAACAACCCTACGACCGTGACGTAATTACACAAAAGCCCTTTTTCAACTTCTAGTACTCTCCGTACCTCGTCGTCGTGGTGTCTCTTCCTCTTCTTCTTTGCGGCAGGAGCGGCGGCCTTCACTGGTCCCGTGGTGGCGTAGAGCTCCGACAGCTGGCGGTACCTCTTCCTCGCCCTCCTGTCCAGCTCCGCCGACCCCGGTGACGGCGCCGTCTCCTTGGCGATCCGCGGAGGCTCCAGCTCCTCCTCGCCGACCACGGTGAGGTCCTTGAAGCACGAACTCGCCGACCTCCTCCTCGCCCGCTTGTCCAGCGACCGCAACAACAAGGGCACTGTCTCCTCGACGATCCCCTTCTTCTCTTCAACAACCACGGCGAGGTCCTCGCAGCACGAGCTCGCCGAGCGCCTCGAGGGAGAGGAGGAGGTTGTGGCCGTAGACGCCGCCGTGGCCGCCTCGTAGTGCATGCGGAGCTGCAGGAGAAGGTCGGCGGCCACCAGCTCCGCGGCCGTGAAGAGGCCCCCGAGCCAGCCGAGCTCCCACTCCAGCCCGCAGCGGAAGGCAAGAGACGACATGGATGGATGGAGCAGCGACCGATCGATTGCTACGCTTGGCCCGGCGGCGAGAGGAGGACAAGGAGTAGGATTGAAATGGAAGGGGAGATCTTTTTTCTTGTTCTGGAGATGTGTGGATGCGGATGAAAAGAAACGGGATGGATGTGTGGGCTGCACGGGCGGCTTTATAGCGGGGAGCCGGCTCGGTCGGTGTCGGGCTCGTGAGCGGCCGCGGGAGAGGAGACGCTGGTACGTGGGGTCGTAAGGTTTGGGAATGGGTGGTGGTGGACGGAATCGGTCACGCGTCACGTGAATGTTGGGTGGACTTGGACGCCGGCTGCGAACGGGACGGGGACGCGTGGCGGCGGAGGCTGCGGTGAGGCCGAGCAGATGCCGTGGCGCGTGCCTATCGGTTCACAAAGCAGCATACTCTGCAAATGGAGGTCTTTCAGACCTGGGTGTGGGGGTTGCTCGCGTCTTTCTCCGGTGGTGCCATGGTGACGGCGGTGATCGATGATGGGTGATGATTGGGTTGGGCATATGGATCTTCCAAAGTAAAATTGTAAAATTTATATTTTGGAGCCTTTTGTGCAAATCTAAAAGACACTAGGCCCTTTGTTTTTCTCACGGAGTGACACACACATGCACTCATTGTAATTTGTTTGTTTAATGAACATGTGGTAATTCCTCAAAAAAAATTGGCACCTCAGCATTCGCTGAAGCAGAAGGCGAGGCGAGCCCGCGAGCGGAGGGGAGCAGGTGAGCGCAGGCCAACGTTTTCCTGGGAGAGGAGCAGGAGAGGGACAAGAGTAGGGGCCTGGGAGGAGGTGGCCAAGAGAATTAGGTCTCTCGCTCGGGTGATGAACGGATGGGGATAAGTGCAAGAGTAGTGTTGGGTTATTGAGAAGCTATTTTTGGGCAAAAATAGGACCTATATGATGATAGAAATTGATTTCTCAAAATTGGAATGGACCAATGCCCACCCGGCCTAGCCTCATGTCTGCCAATGACGATGACGATGACGGATTGGGCTCTCGCACCGAAAGGTTGTGATAGCGTCCTTCTAGCACTATTTGCCTCTCGCGCTTTGCGCTCTAGTAGAATTCATATATGTTGTTCTCTCCTGTTCGAGCAATGAGTGAATGACAACATGTCATTCGTTGTTTTTATTGTTAGTACTTTGTTTTGGGGCCTGGTCAGCACTCAAGAAGGTTTCCTCATTGACCGTGGCATACATTTCTAAACTTCAAGGCTTCATGTGCACGAGGTGTTAGCTGCCGCCAAAGTTTTTATCCTTTAATTGCCAACCTACACCCCATTCATGTTTTGCATTGCTTTCCCTGTGTCGATCTTTAGCTTGGCTGTCGAGCATCGGTACTGCGGAAGGGAAAAAATGGACCTTTTCTACCACCATCCGTTTATAAGACTACAAAAGCGGGGGTGATGGGCTGGCCTGGATGAGATAAGTGGGGAACCTCTCTCATGGGTCCAACCGGTAGAAACTGAAGCAAACATGTATGTTTTGTACTGTAGTGGATCCTGCATGTAAGTCTCCAACTAGACGATGATGTGGCAGTGCCGTTGATGTAGATAAGCTGCCCGTTAAAAGAAATAATATAATAATCATGAACTATTTAGGTATTATAGATTTCTATGTGACACAGACACGCCCCATATAATATGTTGTCTCATGGTCTCCTAGCTATATTGTGCATAATGGAATTTCTTTTAGGTTGACCAGTGCCTCATATATACTGGCCGTCGAGTACCCATGATGCACGAAGTGATTTCGGATGAAAAGTAGATAGCACATGCAAAACAATCATCCGCTAATTCTTTTATTTGGAACAAACGTCTCAACCGGCTAGGATTACAATGACCAATGGCTTAAAAGAGAAACCGAGATAAAACACCCCAAGGGCTGAATCCTTTTCGCAGGAAAAAAGTTACTTCACCGAAATACTCTAAAATAAATCAGAGATACGTATCCCTCACAAATAAAAATAAAAAAGCATTGTATACTTATTTTCCGCTCACGGAAAGAACTGCATACAAGGCTGGCGACGCCTTGCTAGTTAAGGCTTGCCGTTTTTGCAGTTTGCTTAACAGGATCATCAAGGTCTTCGCGTCCAGCCAGCCGCGGTTTTGCCGGACAAAGACCCAAAAGCGTGTGGGGTTTGGCTTGTGGCGAATCAAAAGTCAGATGATGCTCTTCTTTTACGTTTTCTTTCTCTCGAATTTTTTCCTTCTCTTTATTTTTTCTTTTTGAGCAAAATTTCTTCTCTTTATTTTTTCTTTTTGAGCAAAATTTTGGACACGAGAATGAAGTCCACACTTCAATGTGCTGCATGGCCTGGCCAAGCTAAAACGTGTCAGCCCATCTAACTACCCGGATTTCGGACGCTAGGCCGGCCATGCTTTCTTGAGAGTGAGATTAGAGGCCCATTTTAAATTTGTAATGGATCACGACATTGTGGAGTGTTTTACATAGTACAAAATTTCATGATGGAATGACATTCATGCAGGTCTGGAAAAAAAGATTCTCTAAAAAGTATTTTGGAGCAGTGATTTTGTTTTTGCTTTTTCCCACATATCCATGAATGTCATTTTATCATAAATATTTTCATGCAAGCATAAAACTCAGCAATGTTTGTTGTTAAAAAAATTAGATAGTTTAGTTTACCATTTCTTCAAATTATACTGTTCATATCATGTGCATGTGAGCTCGGGACTTGAAGCACACTTTCAAATTATGTATCAATTCGCTGACACTAGCCGGGCATGTCTAGAGATCAATGTGCAAAGTGAACTATTAGATATGTATTACAACTTGACAATTTTACTTCAAATTAAATGTAACCATCTCGATCGGAAAACCTTCAATACATATATTGGTGTGCTGAGCACCTGAGAACCAAAAATCCCGTTCTAAACTGCGTCTTTCATAAAGTTCGGGAGACCCTTCACGTGCCGCTGCCGGTCAGACTAGCCTTTGTACACTTTGTGCAGCGTTTCGACTAGACACTGCTACTACCTCGTATGCAAATACTTGCAATCTAGGTCATTATTTTTGAAACTGTCTCCTCAATATGGCCCAGATATCTCACGTATGGGATATTTGTTTATGGGCCATAAAAACATCCATTGGGACATTTTTTAAAGCTATCAACATTTAAGAAAATCGCAAACATTTTTCTATACCGTGTTACCATTTTTCAAATTCATGGTTTTAAAATTTTCTTAAGTAAATTTACATTTTTAAATATATTCATTAAAATATAAATAAAAACAAACTTTAGTGCGATCTTAGCATGATGTCAATGTGACATCATCATGATGACCATGCCTCCATTGGGTTGAGCCACCACCGACTCCATCTAGTGTGCGCGTGGGCGAGGCAACCATCTGTCTCGCCCTTGGACTTCAATCACGTAGGCACAAGTTCAGGTTTAAAAAAATCTCGCGTAGGCGCTAGGTCAAGCGCATGCGAGTGCATCTCCAATGCACCAGTCATAAAAGCGAATGTACAACTTTGTCCGTGAATTTAAAATAAATTTACTACATTAAAATAATGTATTACCATGTCAAGTTCAAATATAACTTTCAAACAAAGCTTGAGAAATGAGAACAAGAAATTCAACATTTACTATGTAAACTGGCCAAAATTCTGGCCTAATATGAAAAACTACCATTAATTTGATTTAACCTTTTTTCATTTCTTGAGTTGTAGGTCGAATTTGAATACAACATTTTTGTGACACGGCCAATATATACATGGGAAAGGATCAGTATCGGCCGACCAGACTCATCCACCACCAGTCACCTCTCATGCGACACGTGTCCTTGAGTGAGCACCCTTTCGATCCTTATCTTTTCACGTGCACTGCGCAGCCTCTCGTTCCTCTTCCTCACAAACTCCTAAGTTGCCATCACATCCCCGCACCCGAACCACTGATGCGAGAGGTACCCACTGAAGGAAATATGCCCTAGAGGCAATAATAAAGTTATGATTTATTTTCTTATATCATGATACATGTTTATTATTCATGCTAGAATTGTATTAACCAGAAACATAATACATGTGTGAATACATAGACAAACAAAGTGTGATCACTAGTATGCCTCTACTTGACTAGCTCGTTAATCAAAGATGGTTGTGTTTCCTAACCATAGACTTGAGTTGTCATTTGATAAACGGGATCACATCATTAGGAGAATGATATGATTGACTTGACCCATTTCGTTAGCTTAGCACTTGATCGTTTTAGTTTACTGCTATTGCTTTCTTCATATGACTTATACATGTTCCTATGACTATGAGATTATGCAACTCCAAATTACCGGAGGAACACTTTGTGTGCTACCAAACGTCACAACGTAACTGGGTGATTATAAAGGTGCTCTACAGGTGTCTCCGATGGTACTTGTTGAGTTGGCATGAATCGAGATTAGGATTTGTCACTCTGATTGTCGGAGAGGTATCTCTGGGCCCTCTCGGTAATGCACGTCACTATAAGCCTTGCAAGCAATGCAACTAATGAGTTAGTTGCGGGATAGTGCATTATGAAACGAGTAAAGAGACTTGCCGGTAACGCCATTGAACTAGGTATTGAGATACCGACGATCGAATCTCGGGCAAGTAACATACCGATAACAGAGGGAACAACGTATGTTGTTATGCGGTTTCACCGATAAAGATCTTCGTAGAATATGTAGGAGCCAATATGAGCATCCAGGTTCCGCTATTGGTTATTGACCGGAGACATGTCTCGATCATGTCTACATAGTTCTCGAACCCGTAGGGTCCGCACGCTTAAAGTTTCGATGACGATTGTATTATGAGTTTTTGTATTTTGATGTACCGTAGGTAGTTCGGAGTCCCGGATGTGATCACGGACATGACGAGGAGTCTTGAAATGGCCGAGACATAAAGATCGATATATTGGACGACTATGTTCGGACACCAAAATGGTTTCAGGGAGTTTCAGACATGTACCGGAGTACCGGGGGGTTACCGGAAC